AGGGGGGGGGGGGGGGGGCAAGAAGCATTGTTACAGCAAGGAGAGGGCCAATAAACTGCTTGTCTCAAGAATTTTTGCACGCGATTGTAGCTGGGACTCACTCCTAAAATCTTAACTGTTTTAATGTTATATATTAATTATGTTTGTTAAGAGTTATATGTTGGGCTCTCATTTTCACAGGGTTCGTAGTCTCCAAGACCAAAAAAATTCAAAGACTTTCAAAGATTTTTGCTGCGTATTTTCAAAGACTTTTCCAAAAATTGCAAGTGCATGTAAGCAACATTTTTGCCCAATAATTAGTCCCGTCAAATCACATGCTAAAATGTGCCTTTTCGTCGATATTTGCGAAAATCTTGCTTCAATCAATCTATTTTATTAGCTAGGAAATCGTATAATCAAATACTCACTAAAGAATTTAAAGACTTTTAAAGACTTTCTTCACTTTTTTTCACACAATTCAAAGACTTTTCAAAGACCTTAAAGACCTGCATTCAAATTTAAAGACTTTCAAGGATTTCAAAGACCGCTACGAACCCTGATTTATCATAAGAATTCGTTTTCCGCCTGGCAAATTTCTGGCAACGATAATGGATGACCTAATAGTATGATCATAGTAATCAAGTGCACATTAGTCTTAACCCTTTAACCCATTAAGCACCAGTGCTCCCCTCTTGACGAGTAAGCTCGTCTGGCATTACACAGAGTAATTCTAAAGTAGGGTGCATCAGGGTGCAATGCGATCACTCAATGGGTTAACTAGACACAAGGGCAGATAGGCCAGTTAACCCATTAAACGCCAGCGCTCTCCCCTTGACGAGTAAAATCGTCTGGCGTTAGACAGAGTAAAATACTAAATCAGGGTGCAATGCCACTCAATGGGTTAAGTGGCAATGCACCCTGATGCGCCCTACTTTAGTATTTACTCTGTCTAACGTCAGACGATTTTACTCATCAAGTGGAGAGTGCGGCCACTCAATGCATGGTTAACCAAACACAGGTCACTCAGCCAACTTTGACGACTTCAAAATTCTTTCCTCTCAGACACTTGTGAATTAATGCACGAAAGCCTTCTCATATCTTAATTACAGCTCAAACCCTCTTTTAATTAACATCCACTGGGCAGCTCTATTCTGCTTAAGCTTCTTTAGTATAATTACATAGGTGATTATTGAAAATTCTCCACGCTGATTGGTTGCCGTTGAGGTGATTATTACGCGATAATCACCTAAGCGATTTTCAAAATGGCGGCCGAAGCCTTTTCGTCAATTAAATGACGAAGAAATG